TGTTTATTCTAAAGAATGAAAAATATCTATTAGGCAAGTTTGACCCTAATTCTAATAAAGGAGTTTTCTTAGGATATTCATCGATAAGTAAAGATTATAGAGTTTTTAATAAGAGAACATTAGTAGTAGAGGTGACCACCTATGTAGTATTTGATGAATCTAATAGAACTTTTAAGCCTTGGTCAGAAGAAAAAGAAGTGGGTAAAGTCACCCAAGAAGCAAAATCTGTTAATATAAAAATCAGAGTAGAACCTCATACCCATTTCCTAAAAATTAGAAATATTCATCTTGTCATCCAAAGGAGTTCATCCTAGGAGATCCATCTATAAGAGTAAGAACTAAGCATGGACATAGAAAAGATATTAGTCAATCTACTTTCATATCTATAGTAGAACCCTCAAACATAGATTAAGCCTTATCTGATGATTTTTGTATCCTAGCTAAACAAGAAAAATTGAATCAATTTGTTACGAATGATGTTTGAGAATTGGTTAGCAAATCTAAAGACTAGAGTTTTATGGAAACTAAATGGGTTTTGAAGAATAAAATGAATGACTCTAGTATAGTAATTAGAAATAATTCTAGACTAATAGTTAAGGGGTACAATCATATTGAAGGAATTGATTTTGAAAACCTTATCCCCTATAGCTAGGTCAAAGGCAATTAGAGTGATATTAGGCTTTACATGTCTTAGAAGATTCTAGTTATATGAGATGGATTTGAAGAGTGTCTTCCTAAATGGGGTGATAAAAGAAGATGCATATGTTAAATAACCCCCTAGTTTTGAGAATTCCCAATTTCACAATCATGTATTCAAATTAAAGAAGGCTTTATATGGATTAAAGAAAACACCTAGAGCTTGGTATGAAAGGTTGAGTGCATTCCTCCTAAATAGAGCCTTTATTAAGGGTAGTATAGACACAACCCTATTTTTAAAAAGAGTAAGAGAAGATATACTCATTTTTTAGATTTATATTGATCAAATACTATTTAGATCTATAAGAAAAAAAATCTTTATGCTGAATTTTCTAGAATAATGAGTGAGGTGCTTGAGATAAGCATGATAGGAGAGCTTACCTATTTCGTTGGATTTAGTGTAAAGCAAAAGGATGATGGAACCTTTCTTAGCAAAAAAAATAAAATAAAATAAAATAATAATTATATATATATATATATATATATATAATATTTTAAAGATATGAGATATATAATGCTAAGGTAATCAATACTCCCATGAGCTCTGCCATTCAATTAGATAAGAATCACAATGAAAAGTTAGTTTATCAGATGAAACATAAAGGGATAATTGGATTACTTCTTTATTTAACTATCAGTATACCTGATATCATGTTTAGTGTTTGTCTCATTGCTAGATTTCAGGCTGATCCCAAAGATTCCTATATAAGTGCTGTCAAGAGAATTCTTAGATACCTTCTAGGAACCTAAAACCTAGGAATTTGGTATCCTAAAACTAACTCATCATTCCAAATCATAGGATATTTTGATTTAAACTTTACAGGATGCAGGGTTGATAGAAAAGGTTCCTCTGTAACCTATTAATTCATAGGACAATCATTAATCTTTTGGTCTAGTAGAAAATAAAACTCTATAGCTCTATATACAGTTGAAGCATAATATATAGCTGTATGAAGCTATTTTGTGTGATAACACTAGTTCTATCGATTTCTCAAAAAAATTGAATTCAATACTCCCAGACTAAACACAAATATTAAGCACCATTTCATTAGAGATCATGTAACCAAGGGAGATATAGAATTAAACCATATAGCTACTAAAAATTAATTGATAAATATATTTACCAAACCCTTTACCTTTGAAACCTTTAGCACCTTGAGGACCAAACTAGGGGTTATAGACATTCATGCTTGAAATAGGATGAATTAAAAATTGAAAACTTTAATGTTTTTTATATGCTTTTATGCAATTTGTTTTATGATTGTTCATGTACATATTTATGTTGGGAAACTTTATTTTTGCAATTTTTTCTTTTTCATTTCTTTTCATGATGTCTTCCTAATCATCACACAAAAAAATAAAAAATTCTCACATTGTACTGTATGATATCATATCATACTATAAAAAATTCACAAAATATTACATCGCCACTTACAACACATTCAATGACTTTGATTGATTAATATTAGTGATTGTACTGTATGAACACCTAATTTTTATTATACGATACATGTGGCATGCGTTGTTGTACAAATTGAATTTGGTCGATGAGATATTAAATAACATATTATATTATATGAACACTTGTTCGTAGTGTACAATCTTACCAGTCAATGATCGTTCAGACTTATGCCTTAGGACAACCATCTTCACAATGATCATCCAATATGATTTTATTATTCCTCCTTTTTGTGATGTCAAAAGGGGGAGTAACCTATTGTTGGTGGATTATACTTACTACTTTAATTATGATTGGTCTACTATTTTATTTATTTCCAATTCATGATTATGTATTCTTCTAATTTTTTTAAATTATTATTTACAAGAAAGTTAAAAAAAAAGATAAAAAACGAATAATATTTTTCATTACAAAAATGGGGGAGATTGTTGCAAACAATACTACCTAATCTTTATGTGGGATGATATTTATTCATCCCTAATCTTACAGGATGATAATTCAATTCAATTGAACTTATCATAGTGGACAATGCAATATATCATTTTGGATGATCAAACCAAATATTTGAACTGATTGTACAATACCTTATACTTCATATAATACTAATATACTTTTTTAACTAATTGTACTATATAAACTTGGATCGTACTTTACGATCAGTGTCAACAAAATTGAGATTTAGGGCTTTTTGTGAAACCTTGTATTTAAGCTCTCTTAATTGACTTATTTCAAGTGTTTAGCTACTGGGTTTTTTGGAGAGAGAGATTTGGGAAAGAAAAGGGAGAGCTTATGTGTGAGGGAGAAGGAGTGTGAGGGGTTTTCACATGGTTGCTCCAAGAAAGCATCATTCCTTATTTCCTCCAAGTGTCTTGCTTGGTTTCTTCAGTGGCTTTGAGAAGAAGATCATCAACTCGAGGATCGTTGACATTCTCTTACTTCACCAGGAGGGTGAAAAAAGAGTACAAATTTCTCTGCCTTCACTCGGAGGGTGAAAGAGGTAGAGGTTCTCTACCTTTACCAGGAGGTTGAAAAAAGAGTCTAAGGTTCTCTGCCTTCGTCAGAAGGGTGAAAAAAAGGTCAAGGATCTCTGTCACACCAGGTTGGTGAAAATATTGCAAGGGCTTCTCCGCCTAGATATGGGGGCTAAATGAGAGACCCTAAAGTTTAGTGCAATATGGGGAGTGGACATAAGTCATTGTTTGACCAAACTACTATAAAATTTTTGTGCACTTTTTTGTTTTTAATTTTTTGCAATTTACTTTCCTATACTTTAAATTTTTAGAAATTGCATGATAAAAAATATCTATTTGATGATATATTGAATTGAGCTACTCATCATCATCATAATTAAAAATTTAGTTTCACAATTTTGCTTCGGTATTGGGTGATAATTTTTTATGTTTAAGTTTTTAAAAAATTAAAAAAAAAAGTTTTGTGTTTGCAGTAAGTTTTTTTAAAACTATCAATTCACCCTCCAATTGGTGTGCCAAGGGATAATTCAACTAGGATTAACATCCTACATCAAACTTTTATGAATTACAAAGATATATGTGCTTATCTTCTTGAATTATTTTATTTTAAGGAGTTTTTATGTGTGGGGGATGTTCCATTCCAGATGCTCTATTTTGGTGTTAAATGCCTTGGGATTTGTAAGAGCTTGAATTTTTGAATATCTAATATGTGTTAGGCATTGAGAATCATAAGGGCCTTTTTTCTGATATATCGACACGAGCGTCATGAGGGCCAATTTTAGTGGGAGGTATATAGGCCTAAGGAAAATTTATTTATTTATGCTTTGATATAAGAAGTGTTTATTTATTTACTTTTAGTGCACAAACTACTTTGTTTTAGATATTTTTAATTAATATCATGCTCAATACAATATGTTTTTTAAGAATTATTTTTAAGTCAAGTTAAATGCAAAATAATTAATTTTTTTGAAAATTTAGATCGGTGGATATGACCTACTGAGCTGTATTGGCTCACACCTATTTTATATTCTATTTCAAGTTAAGTGAAAGAGAAAGAGCAAGTTGAGTATCTAATTTTGGGATCTAATTTGTCCTAGTATTTATATATATTTTTCCTAATTTTATTTAGTCATGGATAGGTCTTTTTTATTAACCCTTTTATAGTCTGTAGCCATCATGCGCTACATTTTAAATATTGTATACATATCTTTATTGAGAAGAAAGGAAACATTTGGGTGAGTTTAATTTATTCTACTTGCTGAAGTTAATTAGTAGCTCTACTGCATGTTTCAACTTTTAATTGGAAGAAATCTAAAATTTCCCAAAACTTAGATCTTGAGCTTGGTATATCCTACATTAAAATGGTATGACCTGTCTATTTTTATCCGTATTGGGTTTGGTTGTGACACTATTTTATTTATTTGAGTTGGCATATTATATATATATAGTTAGTCTTAGAAAGATTCTAGTGGAGGGGAGAAAGTGTGTGTAAGCTAAGTGTAATTAGTGGTATGGAGAATTTGTACTGTGCAAACACAAAAGTATATGGTATGCAAAAAAGCATAAGTAGACCTAACATTCAAGCCAATAACTTTGAGGATAAACCTATAATTATTTAGGTGGTATAAATCTCATAGTAGTAGGGAACTCTTGTAGAAGATCAAAACTTGTATATTATATGTTTCTTAGATATTTATACAACATTTAAGTATAATTGAGTGTTTGAAGACATTGTTAGACTTAGATTATTCCCATTTTCCTTCAAAGATAAGGCAAAAATGTCATTTAATTACATATCCCCAAGCTCCATCACTACGTGGAATGATTTGGGCCATACGTTTTAAGCAAAATATTTCCCTCCATTTAAAACAACCAAGCTTAGAAATGATATCACATAATTTATTCTATTAGATGGGGAGTCTATCTATTAAATATGGGAAAGGTTTAAGGAGTTACTTAGGAAGCGTCCACTTCATGCTTTAACAAATTGGTTAATTATCCAGATATTTATAATGGGCTAATAGGATCCCTTAGATCCATTATATATTCTACAACTAGAGATTCATTAATGTCCAAGATGATTGATGAAGCTTATTCTTTAATCAATGATTTGGTCACTAATAGATTCAAATGGCCTTCAAAGAAAGTCAATCCTAAGTTGCTAGTGTCTATGAGTATAATATTTATCTATCTTGTCTGCTTAGCTTGCTACAGTTTTAGGAAGTTATATCAGCTTAGAGTTAGTACCATTTAGGGAGAATCAAAGCTTATAGATGAGGGACTTTTTGGATCATCGAATGACCCTAATTCCTCAAAATTAAAATAAGCAAAGTAACTCTTACTCTAACACATACAACCATGGTTGGAGGAATCACCCTAATTTTTACTGGAATAATAACAAAAATGGGAATAATAAATGGAATAATAATGAAACCAACTATAAAGGGAACTAAAACTAGCCTTAACAAAATTTTGGAAATCGTAGTCCTAATTATCCTCTAACATTCAATGCTAATAACAAATATAAGGATAAAAAGCCTTCCTTATAAGAATTTATGCTACAATTGGGGACCCAAATTCAAAGCTATGATACTACCATTAGAAACATAGAGAACTAATTAAGTTAGTTTGCTAATTCACTAAATAGTATACCCCAAATTATTAGTAATATTGAGGTTTATCTTAAAGATAAGGGTAAGGATCAATGGAAAGCTATTAGGATGAAGAGTGGTAAAGATTTAGAGGAGTTGTTTGGGAGAATGATATGTTTAAAGAAGAGAATCCTATGGAAGTATATGTAGAATCTACCGAATCATTAGAAAACCTAAGTTTGAGTAGAAATAAAAGAAGCCTATATGGAAGGTTGTGGAAAGGAAACCACCACCATTTTCTCAAAGACTTTTGATACGGAATTGGATTGACATTTCCCTAAAATTATATAAATATTTTAAAAATTGATCATTAATATCCCATTTACAGATAACTTCGAGAAAATGCCTATTTATGCAAAAGTCATGGAAGATACCCTTAGAAAGAAGAGGAAGTTATAAGAATTTGAGATTGTTTCTCTTACTAATTAGTGTAGTGCAATTCTATAAAAGAAACTTCTTTAAAGCTTTAAGACCCTTATTGTTTTAATTTTCTGTATGCTATAGTGGATAAATTTTATGGGAGAGAATTACGTGACTTGGGAGCTAGCATCAATCTTATCTCCATTATATATTTATAGACATAACTTAGGAGAGGTTCAACCCACCACTATTATCCTTTGATTAATAGATATATCATTCATATCCTAGGGAAATGATAGAGGATATGCTAGAGAAAATTGATAAGTTTATTAGGTTTCTTAGAACTGATAAGAAAACATTTGGTTGGATGATACCTAATATCAAAGGGATTAATCCATCATTGATCATGCATAATATTTTAATAGAAGATGACTTCCAGCCAAAAGCTAACCAACAAAAAAGATTGAACCCTTCTATAAAGCAGTTTAAAGAAAGAAATATACAAATGGTTTCATGTAGGTATTATTTAACTCTTTTTTAATAGCGTATGGTTTAGACCCATCCATTGTGAGCCTAAGAAGGGGGTTTGACAGTTGTGACCAACGCAAAGAATGATTTAATACATACTAGAAAAATCATAGGATGGAGGATATGTATAGAATATATGATGTTAAGTAAAGCCATTAGGAAGTATAATTTTCCTTTTCTATTTGTTGGCCATATTCTTGATAGATTGGATGGATACACATTTTATTATTTTTTAGATGCTACGTTGGATATCAGGGAATTCCTATAGCACTAGAATGCTAGGAAAAAACCACTTTTACTAGTCCTTATGAAACCTTTGCCTTTAGTAGGATGCCTTTGGGACATTTGAATAAGCCTATTGCTTTTCAAATTGGGTGATATCTGTTTTTTTAAAAAATGATTAAATAGGGTACTAAAATTTTATGGATGAATTTTCTATATTTGGTACTACATTTAAATCTTATATTATGAATTTATTTATTATTTTAAAAATATGCGATGATTTAAATTTAACATTAAATTGGGAAAAGTATCAATTTATTGTTACAAAAAATATTATGTTAAGTCACAAGATTTCTGAAAGAGGTTTAAAATTTGATAAGGCCAAAGTTTAGGAAATTGAAAATTTGGCACCACCCACATTTGTTAAATGAATTAGAATCTTTCTAAAACATGTTTATTTTTGAAGAAGATTCATTATGAGTTCTTCAAAATTACTGATCTATTATCATTTGGTTGAAAAGAATGTCCCTTTTGATTTCAATAATGAATGTCTTGAAGCTTTTAATGTTTGAAATAACTTTTGATTATTGCACATATTATTGCGGCACCTAATTGGGCACTTGATTTTGTACTCATGCTTGATACTAGTGATTTTAATGTCAGCGCACTCTTAGGGCAAAGAATAAATAAAAGTTTCATGCCATATGCTATGCTAGCATGGCATGGAATACTACACAAGTTAATTATGTAATAGCTAAGAAAGAACTTTTAGCCATAGTCTTTGCTTTGACAAGTTTAGGTCATACTTTATTGGCATAATTGTGGTTATGCATATTGATTATTCTTCCATTAAATATCTTGTATCAAAGAAAGATGCTAAGCTAAGATTGTTTAGGTGTATTCTCTTATTATAAGAATTTGATGTCTAAGTTTTAAATATAAAAGGAAGAAAAAATCAAGTTGTCAATGCTTTGTTTAGGTTAGAACTAAAAATCTACATTTAATGAGTATGATATTAATATGCAATTATGAGATGAACTTTTTTTTGAGTTGAACTAATGTATCCTAACAATGTAAATTATATTTTGAGTGGTGTGATTCCATTTGGCATGACATAGACCTAACGTAAAATATTCATGCATGGTGCTAAATTCTATTTTTAGGATGAGCCATGCCTTCTTTGAAATTGTAATGATCAAATCATAAAGAGTTCTATCCTAGAAGAAGAGATTGAAAATATCAAGATATGCCATGACTCATAATATGGTAGGCATTTTGGAGGATTTAGAGTTACTTTGAATATCCTATAATCAATATTCTATTGGCCAATATTATTTACTAATGTTAATGATTATGTTAAAAAATGAGATAGCTGTCAACGAGTTGGCAATATAACAAAAGTAAATAAAATTTTCTTGAATTACATGTTGGAAGTTGAAATCTTTGGTGTTCATGGAATATATTTTATGGAACCATTTATGCCATCCTTTTAAAATAAACACTTCTTGATTGTGGTTGATTATGCTTCTAAATGGACCGAAGGTGTTGTAACACCCAAAACAAGTGCCAAGGTTTTGATTAAATTCTTAAAGGAAAAAGCTTTCCAAGATTTGGAATACCTAGGTCAATCATTACTGTGGGGGGTCACTTTTGTAATAAGAAAGTACAGAATTTAATCATAAAGTATAGAATTTAGCATGGAGTTACAACTGCTTATATTCCCCAAACCATTGGATAAGGTGAAATAAGTAATAGGGGGATCAAAAGGATATTAGAAAGATTATAAGTGCATATATAAAAGATTTGGTTTTTAGATTGGATGATGCACATTGGGCTTATAGGATTGCATTTAAGATCCAATTGGAATGTCTCACTATATATTGATTTATTGCAAAGCTTGTCACTTACCATTAGAATTAAAACATAAGACTTACTGGAAATTGAATGAATTGAACAATAATATTAAAGATGATATGGAGAAATGATAGATACAGTTGTATGAGTGGGAAGAGTGTATGATAAATGCTTATGACAATACCAAATTCTATTAGGAACAAATTGAATGATTATAAGCTCATTATGAAGGAATTTGAACATGGAAAGTATGTACTTCTTTATAATTTATTATTGATATTATTTCCTGGGAAGTTAAAATCCTAGTGGTCAGTGTTGCAAACATGGACCCAAGTCCTATAATTTTGATGAAACAAAAATTATTGAATTCTTTACTATGCTATCTATTATTAATTGCTATTATTGCATATTTATTTATTTTTTATGTTCTAACATTTCAGGTCCATTGAACACTGTGCAAAATTATTCGGCTAAAGATTTGGTAGAATAGGGCTAAATGTCTAGAAGAGTATGTAATTTTACCTTTTCTTTTTTATAAATTTTTTGAGTCAAATTATATTTATGGTGGATACTAAACTTGGTGACCATACACACACAAACTCATAGGAGTGAGATAGTGACAAAATTAGAAATTTAGTTTTCTGAACTAATCGTACTGTATGATCCATATCATTATATGATGAGCCAATCAAAATATCATTAAAATAGCTAATTATAATAATTAAATCCATTTAAACTAATCATAGCTTATGTTCTAGATCATATAAAATAATTAATTGAAATTAAGATCCCAGCCACCAATCACAATTTAGGTAATATTTTGAAATTCTAAACTTTAACTAATCATATCATATGATAGGTATCATATTATACTATATAATTAAATCTAGCCTAAAATAATTATATAATTAACAAACAATTTCAAAGTCTACGTAGGTTATTAGACCTAATAGAATTGTCCCAAGGCTAACCCAGAGAGGGGGGGGGGGGGGGGGGGGGGGGGGGGGTGAATTTGTTATTTAAAAATTCTCTTAGAAAGTTAGAAAACTTTTTTTAAGATATCTAGCACAATGATAGATTTTCTCAACATATTTTTCAACCACTATAATTAAACATGCTAAAAATAAAAATGCCGTAAAAATAAAGGAATTGAAGAACACCAAATTTTATAGTGGTTCGATCCAAATAGACCTACGTCCACTTCCTGAAGTCCACTTTTTTAGGTATTGCACTAAATTAAAGTGACTCTCCTTTTGCTCCCACAATAAGGTGGAGAAGCTCTTACAAAACCTTTCTTTCACCAATTCAGTGTGGCAGAGTACCGACATCCTTTCTCATCCTCCTAGTGATGGCAAAGTACTAATG